GAAAAGTTTGTTTTTATTGTATGTTAATTGCTTGCTAATAATTAAATCTGTTAGGTTTAACAAACTGCATCGATAAAAACCGTTTCACACTTTTCCCCTTCTCATATATGAAGTCAAAACTTAGTCATTGGAATCGAATTATTTTGTTCTTTGCGCTGTATGATATTTTTTAAACTTTAGCATTTCCTTTATTTTTTGTTTTAACAAATTTTTACATTGCAACCTCTTAGACATGGAAAAGGAAAGTATATTCTTTATATCTATACGATTTTGTATTATCTTACTAGCTAAATTAAAGAGTTGAAAAACATTATTTTACATATATATTGGCGTTATAATTCACATTATATTTTGGGAATAAAGGCTAATTTTTTTTTTAATCTGTCATGCCTTGTCGGGCAAAATTATATTAACCAATGACTAATTAAGTATCTCCTTAAACAAATTTAAAAAAAATGTCCGCATCTGTCTGCTAATTTGTTTTATGTTTTTTCAAAGGCAACAAATTAAATGTTGTAGGTCAAATATCAGAAATTAGTAAATATCTAGTTACAGTGGGAAATCTATCTTAAATCATTTATAACTACTAAAGTTGACAAAAATGCATACTAGACTGTTTTTCGTTTTTAAATCTTAAAAATAATTTAAATACCTGATTGTCAAACTCGTATCTAGTTATTTTAGTATAGTTAATTTAATTAGTCTATAGAATCTTAATAAAGAATGTAACCCTTTAGTTTTTCAATATTTATAGTTTTATTTTTTTTTAAGTCATCAGTGATTGTTAAGGTATATTCCAGGAGAGAGCACCACACATCAGTAGTTTCGAGGAAAAATTAGCTTTTGTTGATGGAACAAAAACTTTTTGACCACTTAAAATAATTTTGTCCGATTTCTTCATAATATAATCACTTCTATGTACGTTGTTTATATTGTAGTATTTTCATAATGAGTTTTGCAGATAATATATCATTGGAATTACTAGAAATCTTTGTGTTATTGTGATTGTAATGTTTGTCTGTACACGTGTCTCTAATTATCCACAATTTATCAAATTACGAAGGTTGGATAAATGACTTAATATAAAATAGATTTACAAAATTAAAAAGTAAATGTAATATTTAAAATACACTTGTAAGGCTTAAGTATCGATATTTTTCTTCTACACATGTTATATGGTGTTTGTTAGACAAATCTTTAGACAAATTTTCAGTTCTTAAATCTTCAAATTGCGCCAAACAATTTTAAAAACGTTGAGAATTTCTCCCTAGGGCAGGGGGGTTGTCAAAATTTCAGATTTTTCCACGTGCAATTTTTTTGATAAAACTTTTTGTACTGAAAATGCTAAGGTTATACATAAATCGAAAAACAAACAATTTCGGCACTTGTGCACACATGAGAATGTTTTAGTACAGTTTTTTTGCCATCGATAAAATATGATCATAAATTTTAAGCAGAAAAATACGTCGATCTAACGACAAAACAATATATAAAATTGTCAATGTTTGAATTTCTCATTTTTTTTTTGCGCACACCTTTTAACGTTGAAAATTCGATGGTCATAGCAAATTGTCAAAACTTAAAAATTTATCGAACCAAATAATATACTCTTCACTTACGGTTTGCACATATAGATATGTTATTAACTTTGAAACTTCTGCCTTTAATAGTCCGTAAAACAAATAGTAACCTAACCGTAAGTATGGCTATCGACGGTTATTCACATAGGAAAAAGCCATTACAATCGGGGCCGGGACTTTAGTTGGACAGAGCTGACTGAATGTGATAAAAGTACTTTTAAAAACTTACTGGGACCACTCTAAATAGTATCCGTAAAAATATTGGCATGGTTTGATGTTTTTTTTTTTTTTAATTTAACATCTGCGAAATACACAGTTTTCCTTAAAAAAGGACTTATTGTTAGGAAGTATTAAATTGAGGTGCTGTATTGACAAATAAGCATCAAAGCGTTTATTTGAAAGTGATTTCATTGAATTTTATCACTTATTTATAATAATTCCTAAAGACCTGTGACCTCTCCATCCTCTCATTGCTTTGATTCCATAATGCCTATACTCTACTATACTAGTCATCTCGGATAAAATCACTTTCAAATAAACGTTTTGATGCTTATTTGTAAATACAGCACCTCAATTTAATATATTTTAACTTTGCTGGCTTACACTGTGCTTGATTTTGTCTGTACTGTCTTGAAAATACTAACTACTGATTTGCATCAAAGCGTTTTTTCGAAAGTGATTTAATCACTTTCAGATTTAAAAATTCCTATAAACCTGTGACCTCACCGTCTCCACTTTGCCCCGATCCCTTTATGCTCGGATATCGATATTTGTATCATTTTATTTATTTAATGTTTTATGTCAAAAAATTATTTTAATGAACTAAACTTTTTTGTTGTGGAGAGAGAGAAAGAGAGAGAGAGAGAGTGTGTGTGACTACAGTGTTATTTTTTAATACATTTTTGGGGATTTCCAGTATAGAAAAAGTACATTTGTTTCAACTCTAATAAGTTGTTGTAAAAAAGATAATCGTATCGCGATTCTTTGAAATGTAATGCAATAATTATGTATAAACAGCGACTAAAATGTTACTTATTTTTATTATTTACGAGCTGTCCGGACCCGGTGTTGTTCGAGATTTAGTCTGCCAGGGCTGAGTAAAATAATTCCCGTTGCGTTATTATGATTGCAAACATTTAATTTATTTACATTTTGTATTTTAAGTACAAAGTTCGTGTTTGAGGTCATCCCTACGGGTGAAATTTTCGAAAAGTACTATGCCAATTAGGTTTGCGGGAGTGTACTCAACAACTTCCCAAAGTTTCATGGTGATCAGATGAATGGTTTACTAATGCATAAAGAATAAACAGACAAACAGAAATTTATTTTTATATATATAGATTGGCAACACGGTAATTTAATAATTATTTTTATAGCTTTAGGAACATTGAAAACCGCTGCACACAAGAGAAGGGAATATGTTTTACCAGCTTTAAAAAGTATAATCAGACGTCGTGTATTAGGTAAATATTATTATGGAGTTGTATGGTTATTGAACGTTATTTATATATTATTTATGGTTAATGTTATCAAGAATACAACCGAATAAAATTGTTCACAATTGTAATACAAATAACATGGCTGTACAATACGGACACCATGATTATTGTATTATTTTTTTATCACTTCGTATTAACCAATAAAATAGCTGTGTCTTACACCATAATGAAAAGTTGTAAGTAGTAAGCTAATATTAGCAAATTAAATAAAACTGGAACTTAACTACTTTTAACATACTTATTTTAATAGTATCTCGGTCGTTTTGATGTGCATATAAAAATAGCAAGGTTGATGTAAATAATGTAAAACGCGTGCGAGGATACGCACTTGTGCCAAAATACGTCTCTCTTACTTTAATTTTTGTATAGCCGAACACGTATAGTTCAACAGCGAAATGAAGTAACAAATAAATATTACACGAAGTGCAACATATTTACATACTGCGTATAATATTACCAGTGACATCATATATGCCCGTTAAAACTAAAAAGTAAACAAAAACCTTCCGGAATAAAAGGTTTTTAATATTTTTGGGGTTTGCTAAGATCGGTACTATCTACTATACTTTAAATGTTTAACATAGGAATTTGAAAACAGTTTGACTATTTCCTAAAACAAAATACATCGTAAGATTAAGATATACAATAAGTACATTTTTAGGTTATTTTTCCCGAATATGAAAGAGGGGATGAATTTTTTAGAATGATACTGTTTTGCTTGTATTACAAAGAATCAAACCGCCTTTTGAAATATCCATCTTGTAAAATACTGTTTTCTTGGTGTACATATGTGTATAATTACTCGTCGCCCGTGAAACAGTTGTTTCTAAAAATAAAAATGTGTACCTGACCCAATTGTGCTGGCTTTTTATACTTAATATTATTGCAGATAGACAAAAAATTAAACTGAACAGCTCATACCAGACTTTGTCATTGAAAATGTTCATGCTTTTATCAATGAAAAATAATTTAATGTAAAAAAAAAATGATTTACCTTAAAACCTTACCGATCGGGTTCAACGGTAATATTATTTTCTTAACGTGCATATATATATTGAAAATGTAGATACTTCTTATTAATTTTACTTTATCTGTTATTTGCTTTTAAAGAAAATTTAAATTAATTTGTTCATTTAATTTAAAATCTTTGTTTAATTATTGTACATGCATTTTATCTAAAAATGCACCAATGCACATTATAATCCAAAATTATGGCAATTTCGTAAACTGTTTTGGCGTTCAAGTCTTAACAATTTTAAACTAAAACATAAAGTAGCAAAATGGAGTCAGGGCTAGTAGAAAAAGGACATATTGTTATTATTCACAATTTGTAGACAAATATAATGCTGTAAATTGTAAATGTTGATTATTATTTACAATCAAGGTAGTAAACTTGCTGAGGTTGATTAAAATTCTAACTTTACACAGTTTTGTGATCCTAACCTTTAACTAAACCGAAAGCCGCCAAATCAATTAATTCGAGATCGTTTAACAACTTAAAAGTCTGTCCTTTGTTCTAGATTAATTATAATGAGCATTAAGCACTTTGTTATAAATTATTGCAGAAAATGATTAGATAATTCTAATTAATTATAACACATCGTTGTATAATTTTCGTTATTCGAGTTTTAGTATTTCAATACCCTTAGAGTTGTTTCAAATTTCAATATTTGTAACCGTTAAAACAGTTTTTGTAAAACCATAGTAAAATTAAAAAAAAAAAAAAAACTATTCCGACGAATAATAAATTTTTTTTTTTATTTTGGAGTAATGTGTAGAATAAAATAATATAAACTCCGCTTTCTAAGTAACGTATGTACACGATAAATCACAAAAAAAAAATGAACATGCTGTTTAAATAAATGAACAAAATATTATTTACACTGCCAAAAAATGTTTGGATATAAAAGCCCATCCATAAGTCGCAATCAGTGCATTTAGTTTCAAAAGCTGAACAAGTCGATTGTTGTCCAAGAACCTCTTACCAACTCCACAATTTAAGTAAGTATTTCTATTAAACTCTAAAGTGTTTAATTATATAGTGTTAAAAACAGTAATAAGGATTTTTTATTTCAAATTATTTATTTATCCATTGTTAATCATTGTTTTACACAATCCACTTTTTGGAGAGAATTCTATAATTGTTTTTGGTTTTTTTCGTTATTCCGCTTGAAGTGTACTTAAGGTTGTGTATTTAAAAAAGGCAGTTTTTAAAATCGTTTTCATAATACCTCACAAAAGTAGATCTCTTACACATACACAACCAAGATTAATAGAAATTTAAAAAAATTATTCGTCCGTACCAAGTCAAAGAAGAAACATTCAGTAAAATGATTTAGATTTTCAATCATAACTCAAAAAGTTTGAGCAGTACAAAAATGAAAAAAATAACTTTGTAGAGAACTAAATTCATATACGTGTACAATTTAATTTTTAATTTTTTTTAATCGTTAAAAATACAATTTCAAAATAAAAAACAATTTTTTTTACTTTGACTTAGTGTTCAAGAAAAATATTAGTCAGTTTTATTGAAAAAAAATTGATTATAAAACCACAAAAAAAAAATCAAATCGGATTACAGAAATTTTCAAATAATGATTTCTATATTTATAAAAGCGTAGCTGCGGTCTAGAAAATAAATGCCTATATTTAATATAAAAACCATTTTAATGCTAAAATGTAAGAAAAATCTATTTTCTTATTTGGTTATCTAAAAGGCATTTCTAATTTATTGATTGTTTGATACTTGTATACACATTTTAAATCTAATATAAATATTATATAAAAATAGGTTCTCACCATCCGTGTATTTTGATTTTTTGTTCATCTTAAAAAAAAATTAGTCTTAAGTGAAGAAAAAGTCAATGTTCAAAAAAAAAAACTCTAATATTCCCTTTAAAAATTAAGTTAAAATTATGAAAACATTTTTTTGCATGTTTTTAATTTTTTAGCATTGACGATTTTAAAACAAAACGCTAAAATTAATTTTCTACACATAAAATCTAATTCATTTTGCTGAGTATCCTTTTTTTTACTTGGACGACATTTTTTTTTTAATTTTATTTTTACTTCATTATTAAGAAGCTACTTCTCTGAGCTATTAAGAAAACCATTTATAAAATGTCATCATTTCAGTACATCAATGTCTATTATTTGAAAATATATATTTATATTTTTTATAATGGTAATAACTATACTTATAAGGATATTTTTTTTAAAACGGATTTGACATTCTCTCTATAATGTTATCTTCTTTCCACTATTAACTCTCTAATAGTTTCGCTTTAAATCCTCATGGGTTGACTAAGAACCATTATGTGTAGTCAATTTTAGATGCTTGGAAATTAAGGGGATATAAAATCTACCTTTAATAACAACATTTAGCTGAATACATTTACCTAATTTATTTTTGAATAGTGTAACCTAAGTTTTATACTATGCAATTTAAATAGCCAACAGACTTATTTTTATTTTCGACAATCCTTGGTATAGTAAAATTACTGTATTTTTGGCCAAATAATCAACCTTTCGAGTTTGATTTCTATCGCCTATACAAAAAATCAGTTAGCGGTCTAGGAAATTTTGTGGGTTAAGTAGAAAAATGTTTATACATATATATGTATAAATTTATAATATTAAAACAACCTCGCAAAACTATAACCTTCTCATCTCTGAACATCTCATAACTGTGACTAATATAAAAATGTATTATTATTCGCAGATAAAAATGAAACTCTTCTGTTTATTAATATCTTTATTCTTTGTGGACGTTTTAGCAGATTATGGTAGTTATTTTATTTTTACAGTTATTAACTTAAGATAGTTAAAATTTGAAAAAATCAATATTACACTTTTTTACAGGTCTTTATATGGAACTTGTGCACCTTACAAGTCAGTAACATTTTTAATTTAAAAAAAAATGTTTTAAAAGTTTTTAAAATTCACTGTTTTCATACATATTTTTTAAATTATGTATCACAGATGAAGGCATCAGACGTGCTTATCTTAAGAATGATTTAACTGTAGGAGGTAGATCTGGAGCAAGTAAGATATTATATTTTAAATAACATACTAATATATATGTATATAAAAGCTTTGTCTTACCTAATTTGATTTAATTGTAATATTTGAATATAGCAAAAATCTTCATTTGTTTATTCTAGATGGATTGGAGCATCTAATTGAGACAATGATTGATGATGTCAATAATGTCCTTAACTACCAAGATTTCTGTAATCATAGTTATAATAATAATAAAAAACATTAAGACAAGAGTAGAAAAAAATACTTGAAAATAATATAAAAACTTTATCTCCTATTTACTTTATTCAACTAATTAGTGTTATATTTATTATATTTCTCAGCGAAATTTGAATAGAAACTTTACAAAAAAATACTGATGTTAGCTCTATCAACCTCGTCTAATTAATATATTTTATTCTCATCGCCTAAAATACATCAACTAGTCTATGTGATATAGTTTTTTTCTACTTTGACTTTCGTCTTATAATTTATACAAATATAATGTAATAACTAATAATTTATTACAGCAAATTCAATTTAATATTTTGTATTTATTTATTGTTAATTTCAGGCAAAATTTGTTTTTTGATGGTTGTACCGGGTAATAGATTTTGTTAAACTTTATAAAATTATTTCCAATATTTCATTCCTATTGAATTCTCCAAAGAGACTCTCGTCGTATTGAATATACAGTTGAGCATACTTCTTCCAAATTACTAGCACACATGCTTTTTCTTCCTTAAAATTAATCTTCCTGTTATAATAGAATAGAAAACTAAATGCAATAGCATTAATTTTTGTGTGGTTAATTTCAGACCAAAGGAAAATTCTTATGAGAATAACAGGTAATAATTTTCATTGCACTTTATGGAAGCGTTTCCAAACAGTTTTTTGATATTCTTTATGCACACAAGATTTTTGTTTTAATTTCAGAACCTCCACCTCATCCACTTCATAGTAAAAGCCTTTTTTTATTTATAATATTTATTATATTTATTATATACAATAATTACTTTGAGAATAATAATATGTACCTATTGACAAATACCAAAATGATATATCGGTTTCAATTATAAAATATATATGGGTACATTAAAGTGTATTTTGTTTTAAATTTTAGAAGGCAATAGTTTCTTCGATAAAATGCTTCAAGACTTAGTTACTTTCGTAGGTAAATATGAAAAAGAATGTATTTTTTAATTTAAAAAAAAATAGTTACATATTTTTTTAGTTTTAATGAAAAACTAAAAGAAAAATTGAAGTCATAAAGCTGTATATATGTTTAAGCTTTTAAGAATCATTTGAATTAAAATTTAAACCGTTTATTTAAAAATCGTTATAAGATATAAATTTACATTTATACAATAATATTTTGCATTAATTAATATTGATTTAATTAACCTAAGTTATAGAGTGAATTTTATGTATAAAATATATAATCCGGGGCTTATTAACTGTATAATAATTTGATGTTTGATGTGTTTGTTACAGGAGTTGATATGACAGGAAATTATATTGCTGGTAATTACAATTTGTTTGATATTCATAAAATATAGCTTTTAAGGCTTGTTTTAGAGTTGATCTTTGCTAAATTTTATTTTTAATTTTTTATGTCAAAAACAATTGTAATAAATTCAAATTTTTGTTGAGGAGAGAGGGAGAGAAAGTGAGACTACAGTGTGTAATGTGTATTAAATTCTATGGGATTTGAAGTATAGAAAGAGTACATTTGTTGAGGTTCAACAATAACATGTGTTTGTACAAAAAATTAGTTGTATCACACATAGCGAATAATATATTATTTATCTTAATTATTTCTCCGCAACACGGTCTTTTAATAACTATTGTCATAGTTCGGAAAACATTGAAAAACCTTGCAGACAAAAGAAGAGAATTGGTATCTTGGTCTTTAAAAAATATAATCAGTCGTCGTTTATTAGGTAAATATTATTATGGAGTTGTATGATCTTTGAACTCTATAAATATAATTTATTTATTTTTAATGTGAACAATATGATACAACTAAATTTAATTTTTACAATTAACTAAATAAATTATAACTACTAACACGTACTTTCATGTAGTACAAATATCATGGCTGTTCAATACGACACCATGCTTATTGTATTATTCTTTTATGACTTCGTATTAACAAATAAAATAGTGGTTTTCTGTACCATAATGATAAGTAGTAACTAGTAATCTAATATTAGCAAATTAAAAAAGATATTTTTCAAATTTTTATTAGGATCTGCACAGGATGTAGAAGATGGTGCCTCTTTATTAGCCAATTGTCGTTTGCTTGGATTGTACTCGAGTGCACAATATCCAACAGATTACATAAACGAAGTTAACATTGACTTAACTAGCGGTACATGTACCTTAACAAGTTGTGATTTTACCCAAAGGATGTACAGGAAAATCGGTGGCATATGGTCACAAATAGACAGAAATGGCCAATTACAAGAATCACTCGAGGCACAAATACAACGTGGACGTCCACAAGCTCAACCCACAACCTAACCAAATGTCTGAAAAACACTGGCATCTGTATTCTGTTCTTTACATAATATATTATAGTTTATCTTATTATTATCACTATATACACTATAAAATCAGAATTTTAAAAATATTATACATATATTTAAGCTGACGGGAAAACGACTGTCTTTGGATTTTTTCAATAACATATTTCATATAATTCATTTTTTTGTACAGTAAGTACGTAATTTTATATGTCTATTTATGTCATATCATGTCTACCAATAAAATTAATAATTAATGAATAAGTAAAGTTGTATTTTTTCATCTAATCTATTCCAACTATTTATTACTGCTTCTAAATGCTTTCCTTATATTTCTACCTTTATTTAATAATTGTGCAAATTTGGGTGACAGGTTCATCGTTTATATTTCTATTAGATATTTCATCTTAATGGTTATCGTATAGAGAGTTGATGTTAGAGGTAACATAACCTAAACGGAGCTCGAATGATGAGTGACTAAATAAAACAGTCTAGTATATATTATGTATAAAAAGCCAGTTATGGAAATCCTGGCTGGTCAACCACAATGGTATTAGATTGACCTTAAATATAGCATTGAAATAAGAACAATGCAGGGTACGAAAACTAATTCTACATAATATATTAAATCAAAAAGAATGTCGATTTCAAACTATTTTCCCAACGCATTATTGTGTTCTAAATTTTAAATTTGTAAAATTGTTTATGTGGATGTGTATTGATTTAGATAATTGTTTTTTTGTGGGCTACTATACATTTTTGTTATTTACATCGCTACGAAACTAAAAAAATAAGACACCAAAAATAATGAAAATCGACTGTGGTTTTGCACACAAATTCAAGGTATTTTATGTCTAACGCATTGAATAATATACAAAATATGGGAATTAAAGGTACATAATGTACTAACGCATTTCATGCAACAAAAGTTCAAAGTATAAAATAAAACCTTACACATTATCAAGTGGAAACCCGAAAGTGGAAGCCAGTACAGTCCAAACCAAGCACAGTATAAACCAGTAAAGTTAGAAAGTTTTAAATTGAGGTTCTGTATTTACAAATAAGCATCAAAGCGTTTATTTGAAAGTGATTTTATTCAATTTTATCCCTTTTATTTATGCCTATACTCTACTGTACTAGTCTGTAGTAAACAAAGCCTAATTATAGTTTGTTCTACAAATGTCTAATTGTGTAGGGGGTACCGATGGTCATACACGGAAAACACTAGAGAATAATTAGAAACAAACTTATTAAATAAAAATTACATTTTTACCAAAAAAATGATACTAATTTCTAAAATATTAAATATAAAATAACTCTAAGGTCACCACTGAATTTAGAATAAAATTCTAACCCAAAATGTTGTGTCGCATGTCATATGTTGATTTTGATCACACGCCGGCCGGCCACCCTGTGGACGCATCTGTGGCCAGATACCATAAAATCATGTTACTATCAATTCAACAAGATTTTTTCTCCTGATTTCAAATCTGCAAATATTTCTTTTGTTAGACTATTTTTTAATGAGATACGAGTTCTATTTTAAATAATTTTAAATATAAAAAAAAATGAATACCATTTATTGTAGTCATAGAGCATCCTAAATGTCTCATTTGAAGCTCGGTAGAACTTTTTATGACACCTGCATATTAGTTAATTAAATATTTACTGAACGCTTGTGCAAGTCGCAGCCCCCCATAAATGTTATATATATTATCTATGATACATTTCTAAACAACAATTGAAGCAAATATCTTACCTACCTACTATAAAATAAAGTATGAAATACATCATCATCGATAAAACTTTTATGAAATCAATTTTTCGTTCCAACGAATCTCTTAGATATTTATGCAACTTTACAGGCGAACAAAATTGATAAATGTATAAAAAATAGTCTTTTGCAGGGTGGATGCGATAAGGGTTGATCGCCTGTCTATAAAAATGTACTGTCATAGTTACCCATATATAGTAATAAACAATATAATGAAAATATTTTCATTACCTGTTGACTGTTGATCCACACACATATAGCAACCAAGAAACTGACTACGGCCAAAGTGTAAATTTACCCTATTTTTGGGGGTTTTCCTTAATAAAAAAAAATTTAACAACAGATTTTTGAGAAAGTTGTATATGTTATAGTTCCATTTTAGATCTACCTTTGGTCTAATTTACAGATTTAAATTTCTAAAACTTTGCTTGAAAAAGTGAAAAAAAAAAATGCCATCCCTTTTAAAGGAAAAGGTTCATGATATTTTTTCAGTTTGTTAATGTTTATCGATAGTACTATGTTTGGAGAACAATTCATATAAATTTGAAACATTTTTGACTAATTTTAAAAAAATTATAAAACATCGTAATTTTAAGTTGAAAAATTTGTAAATTTTTTAGGAATTTTTCTCGATGATGATGGGGAAGAGGTGACTTTTTTTAATTTTTGACCTTGTTAAGTACCTTCCAGGTATGATTTATGATCTATAGAGTTGCTACACGAAGAAATCGGTTCAACGCTTTACGAGGTATCGTGGGTCCAGACACAAAAATAAAAACACATCATTGTAAAAACAATTCTTTCTCAGCTCCGCATCGAAGCTAAAATCATTAATGAAATCCTTTTAATTCTGATAATTTTAATCGTTGGAATAATTATACGTATTCTACTGATTTTTTGACGTACCATTATAATTGTTAGCGATCCAATATAATGTACTTATATATTATACAGAGAATAAATATCATCGAGTGATATCATAATTTTTTATTCGCGAAAAACGCAGGAAAAACTGATGAGCATGAACTAGAGTTCATTCACAAATTAATTTGTGACTAAAAGCAGATGCTTAAGTGTCAAAAACTAATTGTGATTTCAGTTGAAAATGGCCCTTTACAATATCTCATTAACTGTGAATCAGCAAAAGAAATGTGGGACAAATTGTTGTCTATATTTGAACAAAGAAGTGAGTCAAACGTTCATTATTTACAAAATCAATTTTTTAGTTATGTTAAACAGCCGTCGGATGACATTTCGACGCATATTACAAAGTTACAAAACTTGCAAAGGCAGCTAGCTTTAGCTGGGGAGACCATTACTGGTAAAATGGTTATGACTAAAACTTTGATGACATTGCCACAGCAATATTCACACTTTTATAGCGCGTAGGATTCAGTAAGTGAGTCAAGTCAGACAGTTAATAATTTAATGGCCTGATTATTAGTTGAAGAATCCAGACTACAACAGCATAACACTGGGAGTGTTAGTAGTAGTACAGAACCATCATAAGCATTCGCAGTGCATGATCACAAGAAAAACAAATGGAAGAAATATGTCGGTAAAAGTGATCAAAAAGGTAAAAAGGGTAAGTTTTACCATTGTGACTTAACAGGGCACTGGAAAAAGGACTGTAAAAAATACAGGAAGGAACAACAAAATAAGCAGATCACATGAGCGGAAGAAGAGAATGGTTCTCAGACTTCACATTATTGGAAAACCCAGTTCAGGTGACAATTGGAAATGGTTCATCATTGTCAGTTCTAGGACGTGGTAATATAAATATAATTACGTATGTTAATGGAAAACAGTATAATTGGTATTTATCGAACGTTCTGTATGTGCCAGATCTAAAATATAATTTGTTTTCGTGCATGGCTATAATTGATAAAGGTTATTATATGAAAACTACAGATTAGCGTTGTATTTTTATTGAAAATAATGAGGTTATAAAAATGAATTAAATAATTATTAATATTTAATAAGTATTTATTTGAAAAGAAACAGATTTTGGAATTATTAATGACGTATTGTGTTTTGAACAATTTTATTAACAACACTATAGGAAATTTTGAAAAAAAATTATTTCATTTTTAGAAATATTATTATATTATTAGATTATTCAGACATGACCTCTCCGTCAGGTTCAACTCCAAATTCTAAAGAACACACTGGGTTTCCATCTACGTCCTTTTTTTTCACTGCGGCTTCCCTTTCTTCAGCGACAATTTTAACAGCTCTTTCTGATATTCGGCAATGCTTATTAAACAGATCAGTAAATAATTGTAAATCTATTAAGTCTAAAACAAAAATTTTGAATATAAATATAATTAATATATGTTATTATATGCAGTTGTCGATGAAATAATTTATTTTAGCTTCGACGTGCAGCTGAAAAGGTATTGTTTTTATAATGGTTTGTTTTTTATTTGTCTAAAATTATTGTGTCCTAACCAAGAAGCGGTAATTAGTTTTTTGCTTTACTTTTTTTTAGCGTACTTTTGTGTCTCACCACATTTTATAGTATATTACATCATATAAGGTATTGTGTTTTCGGTCACTTTTTACATCTTTCGGACGGTAAATGTTAAACACTTTTAATACGCATACACTGTTTGATAACATGAAATAATTATTGAGTTGTATTGTAAAAAAGCAATATAAAAGATATATATTTAAATTTGTATAAATGCGAATAATTGTATAATTTCCTAAAAACCAACTGTTTACAGTTTCGCATAGAAGGTAAAAAAAATATTATTACGTTATATGTAACATATGTAGGTAATGTTTACAATCATCTAGTTGATCTGTTGGTATAAGGCCTGTTAAGTACGTATCTATGAAAGTCCAATCTTCTGAGTTGTCACCCATGTACCCTAAATAATCAAACTCTGAAATATGTTCAACTGTGTAATCTAATTCCATGCTGACCCATTTTTTACAATTTTCGTATGCCTTTTCTATTATCTGAAAATTGTTAATTAACACAAAGATAATTCCATAGGAAATCTAATTATACAATTTTAAGACGCATAGACTAAATATACTTTTTTATATGTTTTTTTGAGGTTTAATAAGAAATTAACTTGTTTTCCATAGTGTTTTTACCCCCTCCAAAACTAATTATTTTCATATCAACTTTTGAAACTAAAATAATAATAAAATATATTTTCTATTTAACTTTTTAAATTAAGGATATTTTCCGGAAAATGTATATCATAAATTGACATCATATAATAACAATAACAAAAAAAAAGTTCAGCTACTAATTAAACCTAATAAGATATTGAGTGGTTCACGATAAAATTATCACCTTGTATAATTAAATGTATACATTTGATTTTTTTTTTTTAGGGAGGGTAACCAAATTAATATTTATATATAAGTTAATCTAAACATTATTATATATACGACACTACACGTATACTTAAATTGAAAAAAAAAATTATTTTATTCAAA